CCACTCCGAGAGCCCACGCCGACTCATAGGGACTCTCTAGGACAGGGTCAAACTGCCCCCCGAGGGGCCGGCACGGGGATGTACCTCCTAAAACGCATCGAAAATACCCAGCAGGAAGGCCTGGAGAGACGGCTCCCGAGAGGAGGTGCCTGTCCGGTTCCTCGGGACACACGCACACACGTGTACTTACTAGCAGACTCTATAAACTTAGGGTAGGCGTCGTATGTGATGAGTGGAATTGGCAAATCCCTGAAGTACAGCTTAAGCGCACCAGTGATAATGTTGATGTCTTCATACACGGTCACAGAAATATCTGCCTTCTCGCCATCTGTTACAAAGATTGAGAGACATAAAGATACATAACTGGACACAGAGCACGGTTTTTTATAAAAGGACACAATTGCGTATATCATCGGTTTTTAATGATTAGCAATGCTTCGGGTTCTTTTTTTAAACACCTAATTTGGGGCGTGCAATAAACACCAAACTCACTGGCCTCAATTCCGACTCTTGTGATCGTGCGGGGCAGGGCAGAACTGCCCCTGTGGGTTTCCGAGACGGTGACTCTTCTGTGGGTAAAAAGGCCCATCTTTATCCCGAGGAGCAGATGGTGGTTTCAAACTCCTGACCTTGCATTTTGCAGCCGGTGTAAGCAGTACACCACCAGGGCTCTTACAACGCACAAGGGCAATGCCACAGATCCATGGCTAATTTTCAGGGAAACGACAGGTTTCTAGCTGAAGTGACTTATTTTCCCCATGGTTTACTATTGGGGGTGGGGGTGAGTTGGGTGGGAGAGGAATGAGGCCTATAGAAATACCTCTTACTGTCACAGCTAGTCAAGAATTCTCCGGGGAATGGTCTATATTTCCTGCAAATATTAAAAATCAAACCAAACCAAAAAAAGCCCCACAGCAAATATGAAAGTCGAAGACGCAACCCTAATTTAAAGGAGCTGAGACCCCCTAGTGCCTAAGACTGCCCCAATGAAACCCTAAGAGCGGTGTTTCCCAAAATGGGTGATACCATGCCCACCCCCCCACCAGGAAGCACTAGAATGATGTGGGGGGGGGGCTGCAGAAGTAGATAGTTATATGTTATCCTGAGTTATGGGCTATAGTGCAAACATTTTTACCTGCTAGGGGGACCCTGAGTCATCTTTCTGAAAATAGAAAGGTAGGCCAAAGTAGTTTGGGAACCTATGCCTTGGACCCATATTCCCCTTTCTGCAACCCTCTGGTCCTCTGTGACCCACGGTCCTCTGGTGTGAATCTTCCATCTTGTGCAGCATTCTATCCTGGGACTCTTGTAACGAATGGCCCAGTATCCTCCCAGTTGGGACCAGGTCTCAGAGCATGGGCAGTAAATACATCCGTGCCCTTCCATTCACCTCAGACCCAAGAGTCACAAGAAGGAACTCTTCCACCTGAGCCTAGTTCTCCATCAAGAGGCCTGTACAGGGAACACTGGGAGAGCATCACTCACTAACCAGATCTCTGTTCAGGGACAGAGGTGGCCAGGAGGGGTAGAATCCCCGAAATCTGAGGGATGAAGGGACCAGGTGTCCCAGCTGAGGGCAGGGTGTGGGCAGGTGTGTGGTATTTTGGTCACGGGACCCCAAGCTGCTCCTTGCCTGCATGACAATAAAATACCTGTTTCTTTTGCATAATGTCCACTTTCTGTCCGTTGGCTAATAAAGCAGGACCAGAAACCCGGGATGATAAAGTCTAGCTCCTACACGCCACATCTGGATCCTGCCTGTGTCGTAGGGCAGGGGCAGGGTTCAAAGTATAAGTAAAACACAGCTCTGGCATGTTGAAATAACTCGACTAGGAGACACTATACAAAGGGGGATAGCTTCAGACGTGCTGACATCCGGGACTCTCAGCAAAGCTAGCCCGCCTTCAGAGCGGCCCCAGGTGGACACATGTGCACGCACTGCTTCGCTAAAATATTGAATTTTCGTCTACACCCTGGTGGTGTAGTGGTTACAGGTTGGGTTGCTAATCACAAGGTGAACAGTTTGAAACTATCAGCTGTTCCGTAGGAGAAAGATGGCAAGACTTTCTATTCCTGTAAAGAGTTAAAGTCTCGGAGACCCACAGAGGCATTTCCACCCTGGTGGATTGGGTCGCTCTGGGTCAGAATTGACTTGGTGGCAGTGAGAGAGAAATGGAGTCCTGGTGGTGTTAGGGATTAGGAGCTGGGCTGCCAACTGCAAGGTCCATAGTTCAACACCCCCCCACCCCCACCCCCACCCACAGCTGTTCTCTGTGGGAGAAAGAGGAGGCTGTCTGTTCCTGCAAAGATTGACAGCTTCGGACACCCTACATAGGCTCTATGAGTCAGTATTGACTTGATGACCACAGATTTAAATTCTTAATTAATGTCTACTCTGAGCTAACACCCCATCCTAGGTTTCTTCCATTTAATTTGGCCTAGAGGAGGCTTCTATGGGTTGAAAAGGAGCCTCCTTTAACATGCAAACACCTCCTCTGACCTAGCAGAGACATCCAAAGGTAAATAGGATCAGGGCATCCTGTCCCTCTTTCACACTTGGCTTGAAGTCAGATGCAGTGTCAGCACAAATTGAGATGTGAAGCCTCTCTGGGAGAAGTGAATTAGACTGCTCCCCTGGGTGGGGTGGGGGGTAGGGGCCTTCGGGAAGCCTGGAGGTGCTGGGGGCCCAAGGTCCTGGGGAAGGAGAAGAAAGCCAAAGACAAATAGCCACGTTTTGCTCAGGAAAGAGAAAATAAGTCCCCTTCTCCTTTGCCTCATAGCTCCTGTTTCCAAAACCAATGAGTTGTTTTCCCAGTAGAATCCGGACTGCACATATCCTATCCCATTACAAGGAGCCCCGATGGTGGAGTGGGTCCGATGGTGGTAACTACCAGCGGCTCCATGGGAGAAAGGCGAGGTTTTCTGCTCCCCTAAAGCTTGATGGTCTCAAACCCACAGGGGCAGTTCCACTTCATCTCGTTGGGTGCGCTGAGTCCACTCAATGGCAGTGACTTTGGTTCTGGTTTGGTCCCATTATGAAGAGAGCCCCTGTGTCACTACTGGGTGGTGTTGGACGGGATGCCACAAGGTGAGCAGTTCAAACAAACCAGCTGCTCCTGTAAAGATTTACAGCCTCAAACGCCTGATGCAGGGTCGCGATGAATCAGAATCGACTTGCTGGCAGTGGGTCTTTGTTTGTTTTTCTCCCCACATTATAGATCTAACGTTTGTATTTTAGTTTGGTAAATAAAGTCATCATTATGCTAACATCATGCTTTGCACAACAGTTTAAACAGGATTTGGAGGCTGGCCCAAGAACCTTCTCCTACTCAGATAATTCTTACTGTGTGAAGATGTTGTGTTGATTAGCATCCGCTCACCCTACTTCATTCACCTCTAAGTCTACTTCACTCAGCACCTCTCCAGGGTGGGCCTCAGGGCCTTTGCGTACTCTTCCTCCTTGGCCAAAGCCTTTACCTATCCAGTACCTTTGCTACTGAACTATGTACTCAACAAACACCTTACGGCCTTCAGACAGACTCTAACTCACCGCTTCTTTTCGTCTTTTCTTCTTCAAGGAAGACTCTTCGTCTCCGTTATTCCCCCATCTCCACCTGCTGCCCCGCCCCCAGGCTAGGTTAAGCTTCTTCAGCTGTTCCTATTTTCACTTATGACATTTGATTAAAATAAATCACATAAATCGTCATGATGCTTACTTGATGTGAGCCCTCCACGAGGACCACGTCTGCATACACGGTCAGATGCTGTCAGAACGAACACAGTGCCGGCACACAGAAGCCTTAATAAGTAGCTTCGAATTAGTGAGTTGACAGAACCTAGACTTACCGATGAGAGCGAAGAGTCTAAAAGATGAACAGTCTGGGTGGGCTTCCCAAGCATAACTGAGCTGGGAAAGGCAGATCGAAACCTGCCTTTCAATCTGTCCACATAGCCCCTTCCATCAGTCTTCATGTAAACACAGTTTTGAAGCTGATGGCCACAAACTAGCTCCCAGTGGTGCTAGGAAAGACCCCCGTTCTGCAACATCGTCGTTCCGGATTGCTTCAGCTCTTCCATTGCCTGGCTCTCCCAGGGGCCGGGGGCTCTGTGTGGGCACGCTCAGGGGGTTTTACTTGCTATGACCTTCCGAGGGCCCTCGTGCTGTGTCCCGGTTACAGAAACCTTTGCTGTTCTACTGGAAGATAAATGGAGCACAGCTACGATGTTACCTGCCAAGCTGGGACAAGGAGAGTTAGTTCTCCGTCCAGGGACTATCTCCTACCCTAGGGGAAGCTGTCCAAGTTCTGCTTTTTAGAAAGCGCCACACTTGAATGAACTCATTATACCTGCATTCTATGGATCCTGCCTTTTTCTTCTTTAAACATTTTTTCTTTTTCTAAAGTAGATTTTTTTTTTTTTAAAGCAGTGTTACATTTTCAGGGCCATTGTACAGACAGTAGAATTTCTGTTCTCCCTGCTCCCACGTCGTTTTTCTTGTTAACATTTTGCACCCCTGTGTGATTTACTACCATTGAACGGATATGGATTCATTACTAACAGAAGCCCAGGGTTTACCTTAGGGCCAGCTCCTGGTGGTGCACCGTCCCGCGGGCTTTCAACAAATGCATGATGGCAAGCATCCACATCATCATATCGTACAGAAGAGTTCCACAAGCCTCAAAATCCCCTGTGCCACCTAGCCGCCCTGTCTCCCTGGCAACCACTCATCCTCTCTCGTCTTCGCAGTCAGAGCCCAGAAAGTCCGACCGCTGGAATCGGCCAGCAGTTGGCTTTTTCGGAGTTCTGTTTGTCACGGGGCAGCATCCAATGAAGAGTCCTGAGTGTCTTTCATCACTTGATGGCTCATTTCATTTCTTTCTGTGTGGCCGCACACAGTCTGTCTACCCAGTCATCTACGGAAGGACATCCAATTCTTTGGGGCGTCATGAATAGAGCTGCTACACACACACCGTGCAGGTCTTCATGGGGGCTTGTTTGGCCTCCTTTCTGCGCACGCCCCGCCACGATCTCATTCTATGAAGTGTAAGCCTCTCATCAGCGATCACTCATAATTATTTCAAATTTCCTTTGCTCCCTGTATTTAGCACCCCATTCCTGTGAACCAAAGAGGTCTGGCGGCACAGTGATCACGTGTTGGGCTGCGACCTGCATGGCCGGCAGTTCAAAACCACCAGCTGCTTCGTGGGAGAAAGACTGGGCTCTCTACTTCCATCACCGTTACAGTCTCGGAAACCTGCCAAGGAGCAGCTCTGAGTCCACCTGTGAACACTGGTGTTCGGAGCGGTTCGTCCGAGACCCTGGGAGAAGCCGTTGCTACCACTCCTCACACGACACCTGGCTCCCATCCCTAGGATCGGGGTGCAGCTGTGGAGGAACCACGGCGAGCTCTTCACGAACCTTCAAACTGTCGTTGGCGCTTTCAAGGGCAGAGTCAGGCTGGCTTGTACCTTTAGTGAGAGGGAAGACAGGCCATTTCTTTGCTTTCTGGGGCCCGGGGACACACTCAATTGGTCCGTGTTAGCTTATTTCTGAGCATCATGGCCAGGGGCTCGGAAGGAGCATGTTTAGTTGCCGTCTTCCAGAAGAAAATAAAAAAGACCCTTTTAGGTTCGTCATTTGGCACGGATCGTTCTTCATGATGACACATCATTATTTCACTTCAGTGTTTGTTGTTGTTTTGCTGTTACCAAATTCTTGGGCTCTAGCCTGTATTTCTTCGGATCAGGTTGGTAAAAGTCACAACTTACCGGTAACTTAGAGGCTTCCTTTCTGTCCCCGCTTCCGATGTCTTCAAGAGGTTGGTGAGCGGGGGAGGAGCGGGATGGAATTAGAAGAGACGTTTGCAAAGGAGAGAGGCTCTTTGAAAGCTCCCAGCTCTCTTTCCCCTTCTTAGTCTGCTTTTACTTTCTGTGCTTGAGGAGGCAGCTCCATTTTGGTAATATCTTATTCTAGTTCTTCAAGCAAAGCACATTGAAGAACCATGGAAACTGAGCTTAATTTAAACGCCAGTCTGACAAATTAATAAAACGACTCCTCTCCCCTACATACGAGTCGACTCTTGGCTCAGCCAGGGGGAGTGATCTGAGTGAGAGAAGCCTGGGGACGAGACAGAGCTTGTGGGTCCACTCCAGCCAGGATTCCAAGGGTTACATCCCTTCCTTTCTTCGCAATAGACTTTAGGTCAATGTAATCACTCTCTGTGTATTTTGGACACAGAAAACCAAACTAGCTGGTGCGTTGAGCAAATCTGACAAGATATCTCTACAGTGTTGAAGGGCAAGGCTGTCACTTTGAGGGTGAAGGTGCCTTTGGATCCAAGCCAGGGAATTTTCAGTCACCTCAGATGCATGTGAAGCAGAACTGGTGCATTTGAACTATGGTGCTGGGGAAGACTATTGAAAAACCACGGACTGCCGGAAGGACAAACAAATCTGTCTTGGAAGAAGTACAGCCAGAGTGCTCCTTAGAGGCAAGGATGTTATCGGGACATGTGATTAGGAGACATCAGTCCCCGGAGGCGGACACCGTGCTCAGTAAAGTAGGGGGACAGCGAGAAAGAGGAAGGCTCTTGACCAGATGGGACTGCCTCCGTGGCACCCCTTGGGCTCAGCGTTGGTATGGTTGTGAGGATGGCGCAGGGCCGGGCAGCGCTTGGCACACAGAGTCCTCAGGAGTCTGAACCAACCCGACGGTGCCTAGCAGCAACATCATGCATTCTGGTGAACACAGCCCAGCCTTGCTTACTCAAATATTGATAAGATTATATTTTATGCTTCTTTCTTACCCTAAAGTTTAGCTGTTTAATACCTACACTGGCTAAAAAAATTAGAAAACATTATAAACTAAGCACCTGAATCTTTTTATTGGATGTAATAAGCATCAATGATGTAAAACAACAACAGGGAAAAAGAGACCATCATGAAAAAAGCAAAACCAAAAAACCCGTATGAGTGTTGTTGGGGGGGAGGGCACAAAGTATCACGGTCCCAAGAGAGCGTACCTCTGTCAAAAGCCATCTTGACATCTTCAATTAAGTCACTGAATCCTGATACTCGGTACAGCCCTTCCGAATTCAGACCTGGAGGGAGGCACGGGGGGACAGATTAGTTTCTTGGGAATTCTGTGTCTTTCCTTCAAATTCCAACTTTTCTCCGCAGTTGGGGCCGACCAGGTCATGTGGCAGAAGTAAAGTATACACCTTTAGAGACCTGCGACACTTTCCTCCTGAAAAAAACCCCTTCCGTTCACAGTTCTGTAACTCTCACTAACGTCACCTGAACACGCACCATCCGGTTCATCAGCTTGTCTAATTAGATCAAAGAGATTAAGTCTTAAGGGAAATACTTTATCACCCAATTACATAACATCTTACATAACAGGAGATGAAGCTGAACGGTATTAATAGGCTTGTAGCAGCTTTTCCCAAGTAGGAAAGAATAATTAGAGTACTGCTCTGGTTTTTGGCCTTGGGTTGTGTTAACAGAGCATTCACACCTCTGCTACAAAGACTTAAAAACAGACATGAAAACCTAATTGAACCGGTCTCTGTGGGTCACCTTTGGCAGATGGGAAGCATCTTCTATCGATTTATCGTTAGCACATTTTTTAGAACAACTGGTTAAGCAGGAGGGGGCTTCAAAAAGTTTGTGGGAAAATTCCATTCTCTTTTGACTAAGTTTTTGCACGGCTTTTTGGGAGCCCCTGCATGTACCTGGAAATCAAGCTGCATGATTACTTGTTGAGTGAGTTCATTTCAGACCTTCATGCCAGTCAACCTCTGCTGTGCGACAAGGCACCCAGGAAGACATCCGGGCACCCGTGAGCTGACGATGGGTCTGGACATGCCTTACCTCTGGATTCGATTTCCCTGATGCACATGTCCACCACCATGGGCCGCTTTGTGATGTGGGCCTTCACGAGCGTTGTCAGGTCACAGCTGTACACCTTTTTGACATGTTTCAAGTCTGGCTTACAGTCATTTGGGACCATCTTGGAACACTGCTTATGAACATTCAAACCACAATCTAAAATAACAGTAATAATAAAGAAAGGAAAAGATTCGTTATAGGCCCACCATCCTTGAGTGGTTGCTTTAGCACAAGACAGTCCTTCTTGAATGCGGCTTCAAAGGGCTTGGTCTCCAGCAGGTCCTTGAGAATGGGGAAATAGTCTTCCCTCTTTTCTCTCGGAAAACACTGGTGACAGGCTAGGGGCTCGGGGCTCAGGGCTCAGCACTGAATAGTTGTATGATCTCAGGAGAAGATACATTTTTAAAACCCATAGTAAATGGTTAATGGAGAGCCTGTGAAATGCACTATTATGTCAGCCGGCTTACTCCTGTGATTTAAGTTTACATGAATGTTGGAATTAACGGGGATATAGATGTACTTGCTGGAGGAAGACGAGGCTTTCTGCTCTCGTAAAGCGTTACGGGCCTGCAAACCCACAGGGGCAGGTCCACCCTGTTCAATAGGGTCACTGTGAGTCGGAACGGACTCGATGGCCGTGAGTTTGGTTTGGGGAATACAGGTTCATTTAATTACACTTGCTATAATGTGGGATTGGACACACGGCCCTCTTAAAATGGCCCTGCTCACACTCCTCTCTATTCACAATTATTTGTACAGATGGAATATGCATTTCATCTCGTGCAGAACCTGCACACAGACCAAGAGGCAGGCAGTCAAATAGAACAAGGGGCTGATGCATGATTTAAACCAGGTCAGGTGTACATCGGGGCTGAAGCCTTTAATCAGACATATTCAATCTGTATGCTCAGCAAATAATCCAAGAAGCTGGACTATAGGAAGAACCAGGCACCAGGATTGGAGGGCAACTTATTAACAACCTGACCTATTCAGATGACACTGCCGTGCTTACTAAAAGCAAACAGGACTCAACGCACTTACTGTTGAAGATCAGAGACTACTGACTTCACTACATGTTACAACTCAATGTGTGGGGGGGGATTGTTTACAATTGGACGAATAAAAAGCATGATAAATGTTGAAAATATTGAAGCTGTCAAGGATCTCATTGCACTTGGATCTGCAATCAGCTCGCAGGGAAGTTGCAGCCAAGAACTCAAACAAGGTGTTACACTGGGCAGACGCAATTCCAAAGGCCTCCGGAGAGTGAAAAAGCAAAGATGTCACTTTGTGGCCTAAGGTGCATCTGACCCAAGTGCCTCATCAGCATGCCAAATCTGGACAATACGAGCAACGAAGATGGAAGAAGTCCCGATGCTTTTCCATTCTTGGGTTGGTGAAGGACACTGAATAGACCATGGACGACCAAACAAATGAACACATCGTGTCTTGGAAGAAGGATAGCCAGAGTGCTCCCTAGAAGTAAGGCTGGTGAGATCTTGTCACACATGATTCTGAACATGCTATCAGGGTGACCCGTCTCTGGAGAAGAGCATCGAGTCCGGGGTAAAGTAGGGGTCAGCGACAAAGAGGAAGCCCTCAGTGAGAAGCACCGACACAGTGGCTCCCACCACGGGCTACAACACCGCACCGGCTGTGGGGCCGGGGCGGACTGAGCCGTGCCGGGTTCTGTGTGCACAGGGTTGTTCTGAGTTAGAACTGACTGGATGGCACCGAACAGCAATGATAGATCATTAAGCTGGCAGCTCACAGCAGCTAGTATTGGTTCTACTACTATTGTCACCAGCTTACATTGGTTGAGGGCTTATTAGAGTCGGGCTGTTCCAAGTGCTCTACATTTACTGTTTCATTTAAACTCGCAGAGCTCTACAAAGCAGGGACAATTCTTCTTCTCCCTTTTGTAGCTGAGGACACCAAGCATGGAAGCCTCAGGCATTTTATGCAAGCTCATGCAGTTGGCAGATAGTGGAAGCGTGTTTCAAGCCTCAGCAGCATTCTAGAATTACTAATTTTAGCAACCACACCACCTCCACTGAAGCTATACTTTGCCAAATTAAAACTTTACTGAGTTGTAACTTGTAACATGCAAGAACCAGGACATTTTCTAGCTGACAATCGAGACACTTACATTTTTCAACAAGGAGAACACAATGAAATTTTAGAAGGGACAGAGAGAAGATAGATAGATATATGGTTACATTGGACTGCAGAGTGAAAAACCAGTCACTGGATAATTCAATTAAAATAAGTCAGGGTTACCCTTAAGTTTTTAAAAACATAACCCAGATGTTCTTAAATTCATGAAAGCTAGATGCTAACTTCTTATAAATTCAATAAAAATGGGGCTAGAGATTTTATAGTCAGATCCCAAGAAACTGATTTAAAGACCATACAATGCCATGCCTACTATTTTGATCCTTGGCTCAGCCTTAGCTTTGTTTTTTAAAAAAATTCTAGGTGTGGGGTGGGGCAGAAATTCTTCTGAGAAGTTATGAGAATTCGATAAACCAACGCACTCAAGCTGCTTTCCACATTGTAAGTGCTAGACAAAGGCTGCGATCGAGTTATTGTGGCTTTGGGTACAGCAAGAGTTCTAGCTACCATCAAATTCTGGATGGTAACAGCAATTAATAGACACCAGGGAAATTAGCCTGAACATTACATATAGCATGGTTCTTTAGTTCAATCTGTAGACAATATTGCCTTGAGATACAAACTCGAAAGCTCACAATGGTCCATATGCACCCAGCCCCTTTTACATGCAAAGTTAGGTGTCAAAGGAGCTCAGGAAGCCCGGCAGTGAGGTGCACCAGAGGTGGCCTTGCCAGGGCTAACAGCACCCACGCATCAGCATCACTAAGCAACAGCAGCTTCTTCCCTGAATACTTAAAAGCTTCCAGAGCCAAGAACTCAACCTACATATCTCATGAATTCTGCACAAATAATGTCCAAATTACTTCACAACCCAAACCCATGCTCATCTTAAAATTCAGATTGGTTAATACATATAATAGTGGGTTCAATTATAGGGCAAATCAGTGGCAGAGTGTCCACTTAACAGACCTATGGTAACTCATTTTAGTGTCCTGGGAAACCGCTGTACCTTGCAGTTAGACCTGGAATCACTGGTCATTTGATCGTGAGTGAGTTCCTGAACGGTCCTGTACCTCAGCTAGGTCACCCTGGGGTAAAATTAATGTGTTTATCCAGGAGGGCCCATGTAAGGCTTGGATGGTACTACGCATAACGGAGTCAGGATAGCCCTCTCCACACAAGCCCAGGGCTATCCAGTTGATTCCGACTCACAGCAACCCTGCAGGACTGAGCAGAACTGCCCCGTGGGGTTCCTGAGGCTGGAGTCTTTACAGAAGCAAATGGTCTCACCTTTCTCCCTTGGGATGAACCACCCCATGCTTAATTCGGCGAGGCCACCACTGTCCCTTTACACATAGGAAATGATCACTATTCACCAGGATTGTGTTGTTGTTAGTATTTAGAAGGGAAAAAACCCAACATTTTAAGAAATCTTTCCTATGTTGCACCCCAAAACTAGTTACCCAGTACTGCTATCTATGATTGGCTTAAAACTCAAAAGTCTAGTCTGCATTTGTAGGAGGGGATGGCCAGCTCCTGACAGGTCTTGGATGGCTTCGAGACTCCAGGTGCGTCTACCTCTACATTGTTCTTATCATAGTTTAGTTACTTAACAGTATTTCCAAATCTGCTATCTTTTGTTTTAAGACTGCTTTCAATGTTGTTTTTTAAATCATTTTATTGGGGGCTTGTACGACTTTTATCACAACCCATCCATCCATCCATTGTGTCAAGCACATTTGTACATTTGTGCCCATCATCATTCTCAAAACATTTGCTTTCTGCTTGAGCCCTTGGTATCAGCTCACTTTTCTCCCCACTCCCCCACCTTCCCTCCCTCACAAACCCTTGATAATTTATAAACTATTATTTTTTCATGTCTTACGCTGACTAATGTCTCCCTTCACCCACTTTTCTATTGTCTGTTCCCCTGGGAGGGGATATATCTAGACCGTTGTGATCTGTTCCCCCTTTCTCCCTCCACCTTCCCCTTACCATCCTGGTATCACTACTCTCAATATCGATCCTGAGGGGTTTATCTGTCCTGGATTCCCTGAGTTTCCAGCTCTGATCTGCACCCATGTACATGCTCTGGTCTAGCTGGATTTGTAAGGTAGAATTGGGATCAAGAGAGTGGGCGGGCAGGGGGGGGGGGGGAGCATTAAAGAACTAGAGGAAAGTTGTTTAATGCTATACTGCACCCTGACTGGCTCAATGTTTGTTTGTTTTTAATTGTCTTCAATTTTCACATTTTTCTGTTATGATCTATCTGGGCATGGATTTTTAGGGCGCTGCCTTATTTGGGAATCAATCAGCTTTTTAAATCTCGAGGTTTTTGCCTTTGTCCACCTGTGGGAAGTTCTCAGCCCTCTCTTCCTGAGCAGACTGGCCCGGGTGCTACGTCCTCCCTGCATCTTCCCTTAGGGCTCTGGGGCTCGTGTCACTTTCAACCGTCTGTTTTCTCTGTTGCTCAGATGGATTCTATGCATCCATCCTTCAAGTTCAAGGAACCCTGAGGCTCTGTCAGGTAAGTGTTGGTCTGATAATCAAAAGGTCGGCTGTTCAAATGCACCAGCCACTCCACGAGGGAAAGATGAGGCCGCCTGCTCACATAAGATTAACAGCCTGGGACACTCTAGACAGGGTAGTTGGGAGTCAGGAGGGTGGGACCTTCACGGTCACGGATTCTCGGTCATCTCCACAATGCTGTCACTGGGTCCACCCAGTGAACCTGTTACTGTGTTTTTCAGTTCTAAAACTTCCACTTGGTTCTTTTCTTACAAACTTTATTTCCTTTTTGTTATTTCCTGTCCTCCCTTTGCCTTGTGTCACGAGTGTCCGTAATTGCCAGCTGGAACATCAACACAATTATAAACGTTGTACTTTATAGTGGCTGACTTCCTTGCTGATGTTTCCAGCGTGGGTGTCATCTGGACATTGGTATAGGCTGGCTCTTTTCTCACTCGCCTTGGGATCTGACGGCGAGTTCCTCACACGGTGAGTCGTTCTGGACCGTATCCTAGGGTTGCTGAGCGTTAGAG